ACATGCTCAGAGAGCAGAACTACCTTCTTAATATTCTGAATCATGAAGCACATTCAAGACTTGAATAAGATCTCAATCTTCTTCTTCTCTATCAGCTTCTACTGATCAATTAGAGAATAGAAGTATTATTAAAAATTATTATCTCTTAATAAATAAAAAACTTATCAGTTTTAACTTCTTTATCTCTCACTTTAATACTCTCTTAATCTTCTTCTGTTATCACTTATTTATAGTAATACTCTTCTTCTCTCTTTCTCTCTTTATCTTGAACTCAAATCATTCTCAGAACTTCTTCTGATCTCATTACTACTATATAAGACTCTTCACTGTCTTCTTCTTCAATCTCTTATAGATGATGTCATTCACATTATTTCTATACTTAGTTCAGTCTAAATCTATCAGAAGTATTACTTAAAATTATTATTATTCTACTCTTTTACAGAGTCTCTTCAAGGTATTATAATATGTCTTATAATCTGTCTTCTCTTACTTAAATGTCTTCTTCTTCTCTCTCTTCAATCTGTAATAGTACTCACACACCTTGATGATCTGCAGAACCACAGAATATTTAAAGAGAAATAACATAATTGATTTCAGTGAGTATTGAAGAGAAGTGAAGATAGAAGAGATGATCAGAAATGATATAATAATGATAATAATAATGATAATAATAATAATAATAATAATGATAATAATAATAATGATGATGATAGTAATGATAATAATAATAATAATGATAATAATAATGATAATAATAATGATAATAATAATAATAATGATGAAAGAGAGAGTGTATTGAAATATATTACTGACTTATCAAATATAAAGAGATAAAGAAAATATTAACAGCTTTCAGAGATGTATAAAAACAGCTACAGTGTTGCATAGCAATATCATCTTCATTCAATGCATGCACTGTTGATATTCTTTGTATGCAGTTATTATATAATCTATATCAGAGATACATGCAGAAAACAGATCTTTATTACTAGAGAGAATAATTGCAGCAATTCTCTGTTTTCATATTATAAAGATAAGTTATTCTCATTTCTTTCTTCTCTCTTTTCTCTTCTTCTTCAACTTATCACTAAGTTCAAGCTGGTATGAAAACTATTAAAACACTCTTAGAAACTCTCAAATTGAAGAGTATAGACTAATCAAATTTTAAATACAGAAGAATTAAATTATATTCAATATTACTAATTATTCATTCTCTCTTAATAAAATCACAGTCATGTCTTCTCTTCCCTCTTCTCAAATGAAATATGGCCTGTGAAAAGTGAGTATTATATCAGATTATAATGATCAACACAGCCTCAGTATACAGAGCTGTATATACACAGCACATGCTGAACTGAGAGACTGTATGAGTTGCAAATCAGCAGCAGCATCTCAGAGAGAGCTGTGCAGTGTGAAAAACTACAATTCTCAGTTATATATGCAGAGAGTGAATCATTGCAGTAAGTGTATATACATTACATGAAAGTAATGCTTTTTAATAACACTCAGTCTCTGATATTATGAAAATAGAGTCTCTTCATGAGATCTGTTTTTATCAGAAGTCAGAGAATCTTATATTTCTCAAGATTATCTTCACACACCTTATCTGTGAAATTAATGAGAGAAATCATCAATTTCAGCATTCTGTTCTTAATGTCATTCAAGTGACAGCAGAGTTCATCCTGGTCACACTTTTTAAGTGTATATTTTCTAAATATTCACATTTATACAGATATATACTGATTATTTATTAGATGATGTTAAGATAATGATCTATCACAGCTGTGTTACTCTCACTGTAAGAAATACACAGTTGATAATAAACATTGTAAAGACTCTGAGAAGTGAGTATTTTAAGAGTACTGCAGCTCTGTGATCTTGATTTTTTTTATTTTATTTTTTATTTTTTTCTTTTTCTTTTCTTTTTTTTGTTTTTTTTTCTTTCTCTTTTTTTTTTGTTTTTTTTTATTCTGATTTTTTCTTGTTTTTATTTTGTTTTTTGTTTTTTGTTTTTTTTTTGTATTTTATATTTTTTTCATAATTAAAATTATATGAATTATAATCTATGTTCAGAAAAGTAATGATATTTAATAATACTCTCTATTGAATTTTGAACAAATAAGTACTATGTTATGATATTATGTAAGTAAGAAGTGATTTCATAGTCTCATTTAATGCCATTCTCAATAATGAAATCAGAATGAAAATGTGACTAAGAATTCAAATATATTCTTTATTCAGAACTAGATTTTTATTTGAAAAGTGAATCTGAGATCTTTAATATTTGAAATAACATGATTTGAAATTAATGTGATGAACACAAATCATGATCAGAAGTAATGCTTTTAGACAATATGATAACTGTAAAGTTTGATCCTGGTCTCAGACACGGTCACACGGTCAGTCTAGTTCTTACAATAGCAGAGTATTCACTATATGAGATTATATACTGTAGTAATATCGGAGTCTACATCATGCAGTCTATTCACTATATCAACTGTTAAAGAATAAAAGATTAAATTAATTGACTATGTATTTATATTTTTGAATGATATACTATCACAGAATGAGATGATCTATATACAACTACTCACAGATGTTAAGTATAACAGAGAGAACTTGATATGACTACTCTGTCAGAGTCTATATGAAATGAAGCAAGCTGTAAGAGTATAGTATTTTCTAGCAATGAAACACCTCATTACATTGAAATTCAAGATATTATTTTATGACAGTGAATTTTTATATCACTCTGTTTATAAGATCTATCTGACATTACATGTCAATGATTGTCAGGTGATAAGACCTCAAGAACAGGCTGAACAGCATTTAGACTGAGTATTAAGAGAGATCACAAAGAGATTTGAGATAAAGAATATTGAAAAGATTAAATCATATTCTGAAATGAAGATTAAATATCAGAGAAATGATGATCTAGTAGTGATACAGAGCTGATATATTAAGAAGATTTTTAAAGATTTTGACATGAATAAGATGAATTCTGTGAAGATTTTAATAATAACAAGTATATAACTGAAATTTTCATCTGATGAGAATGATGAATTGAATGATAACTTTACAGCTATAAGATATTGTTAAGAATTGAGATTATTGCAGTATTTAGTCTTAAGTAGCTGATCAGATCTGGCATTCACAGTGAACTATCTCTTATATTTTAACTTATATTTATACAAAGCATGTTGAGCAGTGTTGAAGCATGTTCTACATTATATTAAGAAGATAAAAAATCATGATATATTATACAGAAAGAAGATTGATAATAGAGATCTGAGTTCTGTGATATACTGTGATTTAAACTGAGCAGAGATGAATCTTCAATACAAATCAACTATTAACTATATTATATTAATTAACAGATCACTGATCTTATAATGATTACAGAAACAGATATCTATTATCAAATTAATTATGAAAGCTGAGTATATTGCAGCTAGCAAGACAGCTTGTGAGATAATCTGATTGAATAATATATTATATAATACTAAGTTGATGAATGATGAAAAAGCAAAAATATACTCACATCTATAAGTTAATAATAAGAGAGCAATTGATCTAGCAAAGAAAGAATTCTTAATATAAAGATTATATTATATTAAGATCAGATATCATATTCTTCATAATTTAATTAAAAAAGAGAAAATCATAATGAAACATGTTAATTCTACAGTGAATATAGCTAACAGACTTACTAAGTCACTGACAAAGCCTGTGTTTGAAGATTTAATAAAAAGAATTGATTTGAAAGAGATTAGAAAGAAATGATTAAATAATAATAATAATACAGTGAATCAATAAATTTTATATATATTTCTTGATTTTTACAGTTATTATTATATGAATATCTTTTCTAATAAGGAAATCAGAGTCTGATTAATATAATTAATTATTATTGCATTTTTAAAAGATTTAAGAATGAGAGAGACTCCGGGTGATAACTTATAGATTACAGTAGACTGACTGTCAGAATCATGAATTTTATATTTAATCTCATTTAATCTGATCTCATGCATTTCTTGACATAAATCTTACTGAGACTAGTTATTAAAAAAACATGTAAAGTAACTATATATAAGATCTTAAAATGAAATCATGACTTGAAAAAAATGAGAAAGTAATCTTATTTAATCTCATTTAGTTTCATTCTTAGTATAAAGTTACTATTTTTATATATTTTAAGGTTTTTTTTAGACTATTTTTAATTTTTTAAAAAGTAATACTTTTTGATAACACTTAAATAAGATTTAAAGTTATTTAAAGTAATAAAAATAATTTAAATTGAGAAGTGAAAATCATGATCTTATTTAAAAAATATGACAAGAGTAGATAGTAAGTCTCACTAGAACAGTATAAGACTACTATTTAATGTTAAAACTGTGTAATGGGATCAGTCAAATTGGTAATAAAACTATCAAAAAATCTGGTCCTGGTCCCAGACACAGTCACACGGTCAGTCTAGGCCACCGGTGTAGCAAGGGGGAGTGTTGGTGATTACTACACCTACCCTAGTCACATGCCACCCCAACCTATCCATTTAGTGTAACTCGCGTAGATAGATTACACACACACAACATAACAACGTTATCCTCCAAGACATATATATGTCACATGATGGTATTCAACTCTCAGGCAGCTATGCAGCGCACTAGAATTTCTGCTCTTTTCCTTGGGATTTCAGCCATTCTTGCTGGAAACGTCCAGCTGAAGGCCTGATTATTTCTGCAAGAAGACAGCTATAGGCGTACACACTCACGAGAGGTTTCTATGGATATGATGATTCACCTAAGTTGCTGTGCAACTCAGTTAGCTCAGCTTGAGATATTTCTAGACACATGAAGTTACTCAATTCGAGTGGGAGTTCTTCAAGTCTCCACACTTCACAAATGTATTCTCTTGTATTACTTTCGACGAGCATAAAAAAGGGCCAAGTTATCAGCTACCTGTATTGGCGAAAGGGTTCATATCAAAAATCACTTGTAAGGTTATGTACAGTGCACCAGAACTTAGCATTGCTTCTCTCTAAGCCAGCAGTCTCTCTAAACCAGCAGTCTCCCTAAGCCAGCAGTCTTTCTAAGCCAGCAGTCTCTCTAAACCAGTAGTCTCTCTAAGCCAGCAGTCTCTCTAAACCAGCAGTCTCTCTAAGCCAGCAGTCTCCCTAAGCCAGCAGTCTCCCTAAGCCAGTAGTATTCCTAAGCCAGTAGTCTCCGATATTTTCACTTTCCCCCCTCATTCACAATCGTCTACTGGCATCAGTGACCCTTCATGCACGGCACACCCCGTCATATATTGATGGAGTATCGTGCATGAAGGTCCCGGGCCCCTTGCCTGACGCGACGTGTAGACTGTCAGACGTAATGCCACCTCCACAAAGTGGCTCTTCAAACCAGGCGGCCACTTCTCGCCACGCTCGACTCGGCCCACATTCAGAGCTGGCAAGCAGGCCAAGCCGTATAGGAGTCCCAAACTATAAAAGACATATATGAAATTTCCCTCCCAAGAATAGAATCTGACGTGACCGGGCCATGATGCCATTCTAAAGAATAAGGGAAATCGGGTATGAATAGATTAAAGAATCGGGGATATTTTCCCTAGTGATGACATCTGGCATGACCAGACCATGCATACTCTGAAGAATAGGGGATATATCGGGCATAACCAGCCCACGGATGCTCTGAAGAATAGGGGATTTTTTTTCCCTGGGGATGACATTGGGCATGACCAGGCCATGGCTGCTCTGAAGAATAGGGGATTATCAGGCATGACCAGCCCACGGATGCTCTGAAGAATAGGGGATTTTTTTCCCCTGGGGATGACATTGGGCATGACCAGCCTGTGGATGCTCTGAAGAATAGGTGATATATCGAGCATGACCAGGCCATGAATATTCTAATATGCCTTCCGGTCTAAGCTAGTTCATTTCCTAGGTAGCGCCGGGTCACGTGGGCTAATAGGGTCTGTTCTCCACTCGTTGTAAATTACGACGAAAACGGAAGGTTTATTCAGCAGGACAATGCCTGTCTGGGTTAGTGTGTTTTCTTGGAGGATAACGTTGTTGTGTTGTAATCTAACTACGCGAGTTACACTAAATAGGTTGGGGTGGCACGTGACTAGGGTAGGTGTAGTAATCACCAACACCCCCCCTTGCTACACCGTGGTCTATAAGCCGCCACCCGGGGCCTCCCTCATCCTCAAATCTTTCAAAAATGCAATAATAATTAATTACATCAATCAGACCCTGATTTCCTCATTAGGAAAGGCGTCCGTACAGCAATAACCATAAAAATCAAGAAATACATGCAAAATCCATTGATTCACTGTATCATCATTATCATTCAATCATTCCTTCTTCTCAATTTCCTGAATGTTAATCCTCTTGACAAAATCTTCAAATGCAGGCTTCATCAGTGGCTTGATGAGGCTGTCAGCTATGTTCACTATAGAATCAACATATTTCATCATGATTTCCTCTTTTTCAATCAAATCACAGAGAATATGATATCAAATCTCAATGTAATATGATCTTTGTGTTAAGAATTCTCCCTTTGCTAGATCAATTGCTCCCTTATTATCAACTTATAGATGTGAGCATATTTCACTTTTTTATCATTTATTAACTCAGTGTTATATAATATATCATTCAATCAGATTATCTTACAAGCTGTCTTACTAGCTGTAATATATTCAGTTTCTGTGATTGATTTAGTAATAGATGTCTGTCTCTGTAACTGCTATGAGATCCAGTGACTCATTAATCAATATAATATAGTCAGTAATTGATTTGTATTAAGAATCTGCTCTTACTCAGTCTGAATCACAGTATATCACAGAACTCAGACTTATATCACTGATCTTCTTTCTGTATAATATGTCATGGTTTTTCATCTTCTTGATATAATGTAGAACATGCTTCAACACTGCTCAACACACTTTGTGTGAACATGAGTTAAAATGTAAGAGATAGTTAACTGTGAATGTCAGATCTGATCAGCTGCTTGAGATTAAATACTGTAATAATCTCAATTCTTGATAATATTCTGTAGCTGTAAAGTTATCATTCAATCTATCATTCTCATCAGATGAAAATTTCAGTCATATACTCATTATCATTGAGGTCCCTGCAGAGTTGACCTTATTCATTTCAAACTCTTTTAATATTTCTTCAACATAATAGCTCTGTGTAATCATCAGATTTTCATCTCAGTATTTGATCTTCATTCTCAGATAAGATTTATTCTATTCAACTTCTTTTATCTCAAACCTTTTTCTGATTTTCATTAAAATTTACTCAATTTCACTCTCTTCAGACTCTGTGATTTGACAGTTATCAACATGTAGTATCAAGAATCACTTATGAATTAAATGATAAAGAAATTCACTGTTATAAGATGAGATCTTGAATTCTAGATTCATCAAGTGTTCTATTGTAAGAAAATATCATGTTCTTACTGTCTATTTTATTCTGTATAAGCTCTGATATACAAGCCCTACTAATTCATCACAATTATGCTTGATCTCTATAAATAGTTGTATAAATATCATCTCATTCTGAGGTAATACCTCATTTAAAAACACAGATACATAGTCAATTGATCTGACTTTTCAATCTTTTACTATTAATATAGTAAATAAGCTTCACAATGTAGATTCAGACATCACTACTGCATATGACTTATTATAATGAATATCTTATTATTATAGAAATTCTCTAATCACTTAACAAGCTCTAAAGTGAATGATTTCATTCTTGTTATTCAATTTTTAATTGTACACTCATTTATCTGTAAGAATGTTCATTTCAGAGGTCTTTTCAATAATAATATATATCTTCTTTCATTCAAAAGTTTTCACTTTCTTTCTCATTGTCTGATGTCAATGTTCTCAGTCATGACTTCTTTTAGTCTCTGTCAGTGTGATTGAATAGTCATTAAGAACACTGAGTACAGAATCTTCATCATTCACAGAGTCATTTATATTATTATTGACAAGTTCTGTCTCATTATCTAGTAGATATATCAGTTTCAGCACACTGTTCATATCACTATCAGTAAGTATCTTTAAAACATCAGATTTATTCTTTGTAAGTCTTCTTAGAAGACAGTGTTATCATCTCTTTATAATGTTAAGAATATTCAATTTCTCTGACAGTTTAACTGCTTCTCTAATAACATTTGCTGATGCTTCTTCTATTATCAATTCTTTATTAAAAACAATATTTCTTACAATCTCAAGCTTTCAGATTGCAGGGTCTCAGATACAATATTAATACAGTTCTTGATATTCAACTAATCATTATTACTTACTATCAGTTCTATTTATAAGCTTATTAATAATCTTCAGATTCTTCTTATACATCTTACATTCTTATCTGCATATTCAATGAGCAGAAGATTGAACATCTGTTCAAGCTTTAAAAGAGAATAATAAGATCTTTCTCTGACATCTGTAAATCTTCATTGATATTGAGAATATGTTGATTATCATGATTATGACTTAAATAGCTTCATCTCAAAGTTCTCTTATAAGCTCACTGTTAAATAGTAAGCTTCTTATCTTTTTATCTATAATACAATTGACACATTCTGCAGAGCTATTAAACTGTAACATATCAGATATAGTGATCTTATATATGATTTCTTTTCACTAGCAGTAGATCTTTAATTCATCACTTTTAAATTCATCTTCATCATTTCAGTGTAAAGTCTCAATTCAATGTTGAGTAGTAGTCTTAATTTCATTAATAAAGATTATCAAATGTGCAGTGATCTCACTCTTTAATATTATAAGAATAATTCATCTGTAGTATATAACATCATCTGTAATACTTATTCAATAATTAGCTCTCTCATGAGTAGAGAGGTTGATTTTATCATATAATGTATAATTATCATCTGCAAGATTCATGAAGAATCTCATCACAGATTTGACAGTTCTTATCATTGATATAAATGTTGAATATATCATTTTTATCTATACACAGGTCTTGCAGAATAGCAAAGCTCTACTACTCTTAATTCTCATTCTCAGTTATGAATCTGCTACTAATTTAGTAATATTCATGAAGTTAAGATGATCAAGCTTTTAATACTATTATAACATTATATGTTCAACAATCTTGATATTCTTATTAAACAATGCTAGCAGAGAATCTTTTTTCTCTGCAGACTGTAGAATTTTCACAGATTTAAATTCATTATTTAGTATTATAAATCAAATCAAGTCTCTAGTCATTAATTGTTTTTTCAGAATATAGATGTTCTTATCACTCAATTTAGCAGTAAAACTCAACATCTTGTCAGAAGAGATTAGCAAGATTGAATGAGTATTTTCATAGATTAGTTACTTATATATATAGCTCTGATATATAAGCTTCTCAAAACTCATAAGATTTATCTTCAGCTTGAAAATATAGCAGATGTTCTACAGCAGTAGATTTATTTCTTTAACTAATATATTTATCTTCTCTATAGCTGTTGCAGAAGCTGTTAATCTGTCAGTCATCTTCAATATAATATTAATCTTCTGCAGCACTATTGATATGAGATTCTTGTAAGATGTAGTATGAGCACTGAATTCAGAGTTCAGAATTCAGATATCTTTGTCAGTTTAATCAGTAGAATAGACTGTTTCTGTTATATAAAATACTTACTCAATAATATTATGAACTGACACTGAGCCTGTTTCATTCTTATTCTTATTCTTATTCTTATCACGGCTAGTAGAGTGTTTTTCAGGAAATTTCAATCAGTAATCTATTTAAATGTGATCAATCTTCTGATAATGATAACATGTTTTAATAGCATTATTATTCTTTCTATCTGACTTGATGAAATCTTTATTCTTATTCTCAGAGATCTTCTTCTTCTTCTTTTTATTCATTCTATTGAAATCTTGAGTATTATTTGCAGAGATCTTTTCATTGAAGATGAGAGATTCATCAGTAGCTGACAATTATAGAAGAATATCTTAATATAATTTCATGAAATCATCTTTAAGTGTTCTAGTATTCTCATTCTTCTCTATTATATTTATTCAATTCTTTATAAAAGATAATCAATCTTTACTAATCTCTGTAAGAAGTCTGTTAAAAAACATGAAATCTTCAATATTATATTTTAATCAGATATAATCAGTTCTGATTACAATTAAATATTCAATAAATATATGATTAGAACTCTTTGATTTTGATATTATCTTAATCAATTCTTAAAATAGATGAGTTCTGTGAATAGCAGATCTCTCAGTGAAATTATTCTCTATGACAGATTATAGAGAATAAGTAGATAGTTGAGACTTCTTAAGTATAATAAAGTGAGATTTGATCTGTAAGATAATCATAGATTATATATAGTTATATAGTCAGATATTCTGTTCTGATTAAAAACATTGTATATTTATACTGATATTCTTATCAGAATTAATCTGCTTATTATTAAGAATATTATCTATTTCAGATTATCTTACTATGAGCAGAATCTCTTCTTTTTATATAGAATAATTTACAGAGTCAGTGAGTATAACAGACTTCTTTATAGATCTTACTTAATCTCTGAATTTATTAAGAATCTTTATTAATACAGATATTCTACTCTTTCATTGAAAATAATTTACTAAATCTATACTAAGCTCTTTATTTTCATCTCTATCTGTCTTCATTCACTCAACTTCATACTGAAGTCTTGTAATTTCTAGTCTCATGTAAGTCTTCTCACTTACAGAGTTATTATCATTTCAGTCACTTGAGCTCTCTGCATTGTCTGACATCTCATCAATGATATCTTCAACTGAGTCTTTATATATATTAAACTCATCAGACTGTTCTTCTATGATTATGTCATTCAGCTCAAACACTTCAGAGACAGTTACTTTTCAGTTCATTATTGATGTTAATAATAATCTGTGATCTTGTGTCTGCTGTTCTGATGTCTTCTTGTTTCTTCACCTTGAAGACATGTATTCTTTTATTAAGTCAGGTGTCCCTCTAGATCTTAGATTAATCATGGGTTCAATCACTCAATAAATCATCTAGACACACTTGTAACAATGTGTGGAGATGTCAATTGCACATTATTTTGCAGCTTTTCATTGTGTAGAGGGCTTCATAACCTCTTGAAGAATAATATTGTTATGTTGTAATCTAACTACGCGAGTTACACTAAATAGGTTGGGGTGGCACGTGACTAGGGTAGGTGTAGTAATCACCAACATGTTTGCCAGACGACGGAGCGCAGCCCATATCATTCTGACATATCTGCTCTTTCACATTTCTTAATTCCTGCTAGTTTTACTCTACAGCTGATCGTGGAGAGCTGCTAGCATCCATACCCGCGTCCATCTTACCACAAACAAACTGATGACGGATAAACCTCAACCACCAGAATGGGTAAGTAGCACCAACACCTTGCAACTTAGTCACTAAGGACCGTCCTAGAGCATCGTTTCGTCGCGGCCCCTCAACTACCACCCGAGAGACTTCCGAATACACAGCACCGGGCACTATGCAAAACGATCGAGTGTCTGTACGCGCGAGTGGTTGTGCTGGAGGATATCATTAGCAGCGTCGGGGCAGAACATCACTTGAAGACGGCGTTTGGCGGTCGCATTTGTACCTTAAAGGAAATAAAAGCGTCGTATTGCCAAGATCAGACGTATCCGCGGCTATCGAAGTGCATTGCGCCACACTGCAGTAAAGCGTATCAATCTGCGGAGAACCTCCCAAGACACATTCGAGGCACATGGGATCGTAGCCACCAGTTCCACCGTGCGATACTTACCGGGACCTTCTGTTTTCAGTGTGGGATGGAATTTTCGGCAGGCACGTCCTCTCTCTCAAGGCACGAGAGGGACCGCCATGGGGAACCAAGCACATCTAGGATTGAAACCTTCGGGCCGTTCCGCACCGCATGTGGGTTGTTCCGCTTGTCTGAATAGCTTATATACTAATGGAAACAGTCTCTCGTGGCGGAGGTCTCCCTTATATGCAGCCGAACGATAATCACGTCGCCGGCCGAAGCGTACGAAAAGCGAGTGAGGCGGGTAGTGAGCGAGATTCTAGCATTGGGCGCTTGGTGCAAGTGTCAACCGACACTTCTACAGCTGAGAGGTGCGATGACGGTTCCGTTCTCCGGGAAGAAGTCATGAAGATATTCAAACAGTTTAGCACGAGAATTGAACAGGTTGAAAAGGACAATGACCACCTGCATGAAATCGTGGGCGGAAAGAAGAGGAAGCGCGGTGACGACAAAACATGCACGGCCCCAGCGAAACCTGGATCCATCAATGGCCACACCTCGGCGTTCGCCCGTGACCGAAGTAACTGCGCTTCAACCATGGCTTACTCGGCTCAAGTATCGTCATCCGACTCCGCAGCGTCCGTGGATGATTTTTGCAACCCAGGTTTCAACCCCTCCCCAGTACCGCCAGCTCAACTACAGCCATTCTCCAGCCATTCTATCTATGAGATCAACTCCGGTCCCGATCCCTTCCCACTACCGCTCACCAACGTTAACGGATCGATATACCCAGCTCAGCTACAACCATTCTCCCGTTCTATCTATGAGATTGGCCCCGGACCCAATCCTTCCCAGGTCCCCCCTACCGGTACCGATGGATCTATCTACCCAGCCCTATTGTTTCCATTCCCCTCCGAGTCCATCTACGGATGCCCCTCACCTAACTTCTAGCAAACCGGGCAATCCTCCATCTCCTCCGCCTGGTTGGCGCGCGACATTGAAGAGTCGCGTCCGTTTTGACACAGTAATACCAGCAAACTTTCTATGAAGAATAGTATTTGCAGTTTTATGAAAATCCCATTGCCATAATGCTAGACCTGTCTATTTCAGATGCACGTTATTTCCTTCCAGGTTCCCCAATGAGTGCCCCATACTATCCTAACAATCCCATGTAGACCACCGATACACATACCCATGGTGCTCACCAAGGGTGGTCCGACCGATAATAATTTACCACGTATAGGTCCGTTTTGGCCTCCGGCTCGGGAAGCTGTCGTAATAGCCAACCACTGCATATGATCCTGTAAGACGTTAATAGCAGGCTTGTTGTTCGAGGCTTGGGTTCCACGTACACGTCTCCACCGGTGGCTGCAATGGCCGTTGGTAGATCACCCTTGCTGCCTCCTATATCGTATTGCCACCTCCACTGCGACTTATTATCTTTGCCGAAGAGATGATAGCAAGTCAAGCCAAGAACCTCATCTTTCTTATCTGCTAGGGTCTCCCCCCGAGGGAAGCGCTCAAATGGGGAGTTTTTCAGTCGGGAAGCGGGCATCAGGATAGCGAGGTTTTGTTTGAAGGGCTGCGGGCTCACTCCAGCGAGGAGGTGGTTGACGTGCTAGGTTCCTTCAGCCAAGTTAAAGAGAGGCTGAGAGCGGAGATTCTCACCTGATTGCTCGCCACCCGCTCAATGGAGTTTGTATCTGTGGCATCCTTCAGCACGATCCATCCATCGTTGATGAGTGCCTGTAAGACTCTGTCGAAGTCCCGATAGAGGTCTAGTATGTCACCAGATCTGATCAAAACGTTGGTGTCCATGTTCACCCTGACCTGCTTGCAAACATCGCGGCGCGGGGCTTCACTGAGGGGTGACGATGCCGGATGCTGATTGAATGACACGTGACATAACTTAGTCTTGGCATCGTTGGGTTCGGACACGACCGTTGATATCCTGGCCCATTATTAGCCCTGAATGAGTTGTCGATACAACCAGGGGTGTGCGGAGGGAAAACCAACCCTTACCTTCCGAACCCTGGAACGGCTTGTTCTTCTTACCAGCATAGAAACCATCTTGCGGACACGATTTGTGGTTTGGAAGACACAGAAGTCGGTTGGGGATTAAGAAGACGAACAGAGCGAGCGTTGTTAGTTCTAGAAAATCGGGGGCATCGGTGGGTTGTCTGCTTTTTAAGTGTGCGAATATCGGTCGCTAACTTCATGCCCGATTGGCAAATTCATTTGGCAAACAAAGTCGAGCCTTGCATGAGGCAGCCGGTTGCCTGGATTCCTCCTCAACACACCGCCCTCCTTGCAGGATGCAGATGTCTACGCTAATTGGCGATCGAGTGGCCTTGGCAGCGGGACATTAAACATAGCTGTTACAGCGCCGTCGATGACAGCAGTATGCTTCCCTCCCCACAGGAAAGGATGAATAACTACGTGATTAGGATATAAGCTATCTAAAAGCAGATACAGAACTCGAACATGCTCCCGATTCTCTTCACAATTCCCGACCTTGCCGTGTATGATCCGAACCAGAGCAAGTCATCAGCGTTTGAAGTTACTCTCTGCAAGCAAGCCTCGTATCGGGAAGATGCTTCGTGCCGACGGAGACTTTCAACGGACAACTGATACTCCCTGTAAATGGGATATATAAAAGGCAACGCAGGCTTTCCCGTCTCCCTCATGTCCCTCAAATGGTCGCGACACGCGCGAAAGTTACCCTCATATTCGACAATTCTGCGCAGCTCCCGTGGGATCATTGTTGCATCGTAGTCAGCAACCCTCAGACCTATCACAATTGCAGTCACTCCATGAAAGTTTCGTTGCTTGTACAGACACTTTTGATACGATGTTAGCAGTACTCCGAAGCGAAGAGCTGCAATGACCAGCTTACCATGGCAAGTTCGACCAAGGGACCACCGTATCTCAGGTCCTTTCGAAGGCATTCGGTTGTATCTTCATTTCGATGGCGCCAAGAGTGACCCAGGAGACGCCGCCACTCGTCTCGCTCGGAAGGCATGAGGGCGTACGCGGCTTGAAAGCATCTCAAGTCTTCGTTTGTGATGCGGCTGGCTAGTGACTCTGGCGACATGTCTCTGATTCCCCGGAAGAACATCAAGTCGGTCCGGAAGCTAGACACCGGATCGATGTCTCGTTCAGTGTCGTAGGTACTCTGGAAGCGGGTGTTCAGGAGATAAAATTCGTCCGCGTTCAAGCGGCGGGGTCGGGGACCGAAGACATCAGCAAGAGGGTCAATGATGAACCCGATATTAAGATCATGGGTCAAACATTTCCACGACTGGGTGTTCTGGATGCAGCCAGACATCACTGCTCGTGCAAGAGGGTTTACTCCGAGAACGATCTGTCTCCAGTGTCAGCACGCAATACATATGAAGTGCTCCAGTTCTGGCGGACCGTTTGAAGTTCATTCTTGATCCGCAGTGGCTCGGGACACCTCCGAAGAAACCTATTGAGTCGAATACGGAGCACCCCGAGGTACACCAAGAACATATCCATCACGTCTGTGTCGCGCCCAACCGCTTTTAGAAGCCACGCTGCGAATGGGACCTGTAAAATGACCGACCTGGTCTCCTTATCGATCGCACGGGCTACAGCAGGGGCTACACCATGGGCATCGGTCGTGTTCACTCCCGTCAGTGGATTTTCCCTATAGGGAAAATCCGTCTTTGCTATGGACTGCTCCAAGTCGTCGAGACTTAACCAGCGGGCGGAGGCATGCATTCTGAATCGATCGCGATGATACCTGAAAGCTCATTAGTCTGGCGGAAAAAATAAGATCAGTGATTTCAGATGAAAAATGACAATGACAGGACAGCTGAGGAGCAACATCTGCCGTATACATTTTGGAAAATGCCTGGTGAATCCTGGCACGAAGCCAGAGCTGTGACACATCCCCGACCTCGAAATCCTGATCACCACAGCGGATCATTGTTTTTCCAACGCCAAGGCCATCCCAATCAGGATACAGCGGTTGATCGCAGGGGTTCAATGTGAATTTACAACGCCACGACCGTTCCAGGGAGAAGGATCGCTGCTGCTCCTGGATAACAGGAGTTTAATTGGCAGCAAAGTGCAGGGACTTCCGTGTTGGAACCCACGCGCCTCCGGTTCACAAAAAGCAACCATAGAAACAACCGAGCAATCCTGGCATTTCGGTTAGCCTGCCGCCGAGGATGGCTTGATGGAAGGGAACATAAAAGGAGAACTCACTCCCATTGCATTATGCGGCCACCTGCATATCTCCTTCAATTCTCGAATTTCACCGGAATGGCAAGAGGCGCCTACGACACCACTGGAGTCCCCAAACCACAACCTCCTCCCAAGCCGAGATAGGTTTTCACATACACTCGGTCGCGATAGTATAATGAACCATGGCGGTCAAAAACGGATTGAGCGTTCCTCAGCTGTTGTGTGCTACTCGCGATTGTGGCACCGCGCAGCACCTCGAGGGTGTTGGACATTTCCCCGAACCACACATCGAAAGGACATCACCAATGTTGCAGCCACCTCCAACCGACATATGAGAGAAATTCCTGGCCACCGCCGTTGCCTCACAGTTTCCCAGACACTATCACAGCACTTTCCCACACTCCATCACTCAAACCCAACTGGACAATAACTCGGGATCCCTGCAGGGCCCGATACCCATACAAGCTCCCTACTTTCGTGCTCGCGATCCTCCTCCGCTCATTGCCTCACAGTATGAAAGTACACCGCGGTCGTCCTATAGCCTGGTTCGCCAAACGCGGCCGCCATTAACACAATGCGGTTGCCAACTATATCCCGCTGATAATTCTCTTCCTCCCTTGGAACAGGGTGGATTGAGGAGGTCATTAGCACGCTCAGGGGATATCGGGCTGCATTCAAAGCAAATATCTCCACCGATAATGTCACAGACAGTAACAGAATCGGCGCAAAGATGGAGAGGTATAATTAATGTCGATATGGAATCCGGATCACGGAAAGCGACGGAGATACGGCAAAAGAATAGCCTCGCCTCTAAAAAGTTTTGCCAGCGCAAGAAGGTTCAGAAAGAGGAAATGAAGAAGATTATCGAGAAATTGACCGAAGAACGTGATCATTTTCGGCATTTATGTCATCAGTTGTTGGAGAAGGAGCAGGGAAGCAGAATCATCAAACACTCCGCCAGTATGCCTTCATTCAAACCGGCTACGTCTTGAACTGATTTCGTATTTTTCTTCCGTATAGAGTAGGAACGAAATCAATACTTTCCTATTAAGTGGAGATATGAAAATTAAAGACAAGAGACATACCCAACCCGTATGACGACACTCACTTGTTGAATTGATGAAGTTGTTTTGCTATATTCATTCAAAGAGTTCATCTCATTAAAATTGTTGCCACTGGTCATGTTTTTAAAAACTCTCTGGGATAAAATCGATGACGCTGCCTGCAACCACAAAATCCACCATCCGTCAGGCGATGAAGGGCGAATGGGAAGCATTCTGGGAACAGGCAAAACATGAAACCAGTAAACAGAAGTTGAGGAGGGTCAGGAAAGACCTAACAAGGCAGAGATACAGAACAGATAGGAAGACTATGAATAGAGGAAGCTCAAGCGGAAAAGAAGTGATTCTTGCAGAAATAACCGGCCCCAACTGGAAGCTTTCGGCAAGAATAACTGAATTTCCAAGGAAAAGAGCAGAAACTCCTGTATGTATAGTAGTGCGCTGCATAGCTGCCTGAGGGCGGCTGGGACAGTCTATGAATAAATCAATCAATCAATCAATCAATCAATCAATCAATCAATCAGTTCGCTTCGTACTTCATTGACGGCCGACTCGATTGACGGCCGTTCATCTCAGTCGGCCTAAAGAATAGGGGAATATTTTCCCCTGGGGACGACATTGGGCATGACCAGGCCATGGCTTCTCTAAAGAATAGGGGATATAGTGGGCATGAACAGGCCATGGCTACTCTGAAGAATAGGGGAATATTTTCCCCTGGGGACGACATCTGGCATGACCAGGCCATGAATATTCTAATATACCTTCCGGTTTAAATCAGTTCATTTCGTTTGGTTACCAGTACTCTGCTGAGCCTTACTAGAACCCCACAAGAGAGATGGATATTACAGGTCATGTAAACAATTCCATCTAATTGAACAATAGTCAATGGTGCATCTCCCGAGTTCCCATAGTGCGGGTCAATTTGTTCAAATGATTCTCCCTGAAAGGGACTGTAGCCGTCACCCTTCAGGAAAATATAGGGCCAGTCATAATTATGAATCTTGCTGTTTTAAAGTCAAAAAGCACGTAATTTGAAACGAGCGTGCTACAAGTGAGTGATCCTGTGGTGAGCCCCGCTAGCACACTAGTCAGCCAGCTAAAAACCTGTAGATTTACGCCTCCGAGATGAGAGACGAGAGGTTATGCGGACATGTCTTGGGTGCGTGGGGTAAATTGATACAATAATGAACTCTTTGGGGGGGTATATGGCCCGGCATTCCCTATTCGATCACTCAGACATCTAAACAAATGGCCTACGGGTCATGTGGGCTAAAAAGAAGTGCGAGCCGAAAAGGGGTTGCAGGCTGAAAGGGAATGCAAGCTGGAAAACAAAAAAAGAGCAAGTCAGACAGAGTGCCAAAGAACTCAGCAAGGCTTGGCTTGGCTTTGACTCAGCAATCAAACATGTAGATCTTCAACTTCCCTGTCTCTTTCCATCACTCATGATTTCAATATTAGATGTAAGATTGGTCATAAAAATCTCTATCTAGTAGCTCTTGATAACATCAGTGATAATCTGACAACACATTCTGCAGATTGTGTCAATGAGGGAAAGACATTCTGAATAATATCAGTATTTATATAGAAGAGTTCTTCACTCTGATAAGATGATATAACAGATCTAGCATTGCCATTGATACTTCAGTTCATGAACTTCAGTCTTGAGTCTGTCAATCAGCTCATTCTTTCTAGTAATTTCTGCATGCAGATACTGTATTTCTTCTTTCAGTGCTTTTCTCTTTACATACTCTGTCTTGAAAATATTATGAATTCCCTGAATTATAGTTTTCTATCTCAATATCAGTAAAGAAAAAGACCTCATTATACACTATATAAGAAAGAGTCTTATTAAAACTGTGTCTAAGTTGAGTAAGTTAGGAATTTTATATTTTTTCAGTGACTGTCTCATTTCAGAGAACACTGAATCATTAAATAGAGTCTCATACACTGAATAGCTGTAGTCTGTGCAGAGTCTCTTTCTTCACAGCTTTTATACTAAGAGCTGATATTCATTCATCTCTGTATCTGAACTGATGATGATAATACTACAAAGCTTATTACAGAGACTATCAGCTGACATTATAATTGAAGAATAATTATGTTCTGAAAATACAGCTCACTAGAAATAGCTTATACTATAAGAAGATGACTTCAGATTCAAGACTGTGAGTAGAAAAAGAAAGAACTCTGAAGAGCTTCAGTGAGAGAGAAATAGATTCTTTGATCTCATTTAGTTATCTTTGAGTTGATAAGAATCTCTCAGTGAGTTTCAGTCTCACAGCAGTGTAAGATGAGAAGTAGAAAAGAAATTAAAAGAAAGATGAATTCAAGAGAGAAGAGAGTTCTCTATATACATTAGAATATAAGAGACTGTTATGAAATGCTTATCTCAGATTACACTCTTCAGGCATTAAAGCACAGTGCAGCAGTTAATAATATCTGAGAATAAAATCTGAAAATAGAACTCATATAGTAATAGCATCTCTTTCATGACTGTTGCATGCAAATCACTATTGAGAGAGAGAAGTGATAAGAGAGTGAGTATTATTTAACTGTAGCTTTGTACAGTTGACTCTCTGAAGAGAAAGATAAGAGTGTAGTCAGATAAGATTATTCTCAACTGTTTATCAAGAACTGTTGATAAATAGCTTGAAGAGACAGACTGTCTTTTATAATCAATCATGATATTACTTTTATATACATGAATAAGTATTACATCTCACTCTTCAGAGCTACAGATACTACTATAATATCAGCAGGTTTAACTATATACATTTCTCTCTCTTATTTCTGAAGCATAGATACTCACTGACACAGTACTGATTCTGTTCTTACTGAAAAACATCTCTTCATCTCTGATCAGAGTCAGTGCTTCTTCACTATACTTAGAAGCTATGCATTCTTTTCAGAAAGTTATTATTATAGCTTATCTCTGTGACTCTTTCTCTTCTCATCACACTCATACTGAGTTTCTCTGATCTTGTGAGAAGCAGAGTAACTGACTGATTACATACTCTTATCTCTTCATATTATCAGTACTGAGTCAGGTATATAACTTATCAAAGTATCTTTAAACAGTTAAGAAAGAAACTGCAGATGCTTATTAAGCTACAGTAATAGAAAATAAAAGTGAAGAGCTATGAAGACATCTTTCATAGATAATATAGAGATAATATAAAGCTGCTTTACAGCTGATTCTTCTGATTACTATAACTCTTGCTTATATCTTCTAATCTATGTATTACTGAGAAAGTCATCACTCATACTGTAGAAGTAAGACATATTAATATTAATACTGTAATAAGTGAGATAAATCTGTCAATGATTCAGAATATGAGTATCATTATTTATTTAAGAATTTCTATTTCAGCTGTTAAGTCTCTCTCTGAATTCTTAATAATGATTAAGAGTGTCATAGTACATAGACAGAGAAGATGTAAGAATAAGAGCTCGCAGGCGATTATTCAGGTGTTTACAGCTTGGCGTGATATGTACTGTTAACTACTAGAAGTATTCATGATAGAAAGATAAAATATAGAGATTAAATGTATAATAGTATTTAAGCTGAGTTGTAAATAGTATTCATGAACTTCAGTCTATATAATTGTGTGTAGTCAAGAGCCACTAACTCTATTAATTACATAAGAGATAGAAATAGAAGTAAAGAATCTGTAAGAAGTGAGATTTCTTACATATCTCTCTCTCTCTAAGACTTCATCTGTGAAGTCTTTCACTAAGTGACTTCATAGAATCAGCTCAGCACTGCAGTGATACTCACTAAAAATTCTTCATATCTATAAAAAAACCTCAGTGAGGAAAAATTCCTTGTTATTATAAAGAGAAAAGAGTCTATCACTCAGTTTCTTATTCTGTGAGATTCTTGATAATCTACAGATTCCTCTCTAACTATCACACAGATTTATCTCACATCTTTCATATAGAAGAGTTCTGATTAACTCTTAATCATTTTTATAAAATTCTTATGTAATTATTACACAGATTCATCTCACAGATAAATTACTCTCTATAAGATTACTCTTATTAAAGAGAAGTATTCATAAGTTAATCTTTTACTTATTCTTATAAATCATTATTCATTAACACTGTAGAATTGTGAGGAATTTTTCATTCTTTTATTAACTCTGTAGAATTGTAGAATTAAGATATCTGCAGTCTGTAATCACTCTTTATAGTTATATAGAAAGATTCAGATCTGTAATTTATAATCACTCTTTATTTACTAGAGTGATCTGACTGTTTTATAAGATCACTCACAGTGTAAGTAAATCTCTTTAAAGTAGTATAAATATTTCAGATCTATCTATGAAATCTCATCTTCTTTTCTCTTTTTCTATAACAGTTTTCATTTTCATAAACTGTGAGTATTCTTATTCATTTATAAAGTGTTTTTATTCAGATAATAGAGAGAGAGTATTTCTAATAATATCTATATATTAATTCAAGAACTTTCTAAGAATAAAAATCTTTTCAATTTTAATATCTTTGCAGATAATATCTGATTACTACTGAGCTTCTTATAAGTATCTCTGCAACTTCTCTAATCACTTTTTACTAACTGATAAAGCAGAGATATTATTACTTATAATAGCATCTTTATTTCTCTCAGCTCTGTCACTGTATTCAATCTTCAGATCAGTAGTTAATCTCATATCTCTTTCAGATCAGTCTCTGACTCTAAGCAGTGCAGTTCTGTTCTTTACTGTAAGTCTCTTTATAAGTAATTTCTTACAGACTCTAGCTAACAGTTCTTATAAAGCTTCTGATATTATCAGTGTCTTCTACAGCTTCACAGATCTATGATCATCTCTCTTCTATCTACACAATCTCTGATCAGATATATATAAATATGTCTAGATTCTCTATCAACAGTTCTCACACTGTGACATATTTTCACAATTTCATTATCAGTG